ATTTAGGTGGTGATTATTTAGAAAATACGACACCCGATTATCAAGGCTGGCTAATCCAATTATCCCGATTTAATCATAAGCAATGTTGACCTACATGAGTTCCCGATGGGATGAGATATTTGCTTCCCCTCCAAGTTCGCATTAAATTTAGAAGACTTTGTCCGACTAAGAGCCTAACTATCTTAAACCATACGATCGCTTTGCCTTGAGGCAATCACACATCAGAGCCATAGTGTTGCTATGCAGATCTGGTATATTTGTAAATAAGCTTCAACCTGCCTCTCTTAATCCCTCTTCAAACGCTCCATGCTGACATTAAATCGCAAATCAGTTGGTCAGAGTCATTCTGCCCTCTACAATCGACTAATTTATCAGCTTCACCACTTCTGATGTCGCCGCAACCGACAGTGGATTCGCCCGATCGAGAGATTCATCTTGATAGCACACCGGCGATCAAGGGCGTCATGATGATGGCATCCACTCCTGTCTCAGGCCAAACACCAGCAGGCTCACCTTCTAATTGGCATGCCAGTTCGTATATGGGCAACATCAGCGGGACTTTCGAGTCGACAAGGCAATCCAGAAGATTCGGACTTACACCCAACACAAGACAAATACGCTGGTCAAATACGGCCAAACGGAACATCGGGCACTAAGGGTTAGCCATAAAAGGCTGAGGGAAGTAGAGTTAAGTGAGGAAGGCACTAGATTCTCCCATGCTAAAAGCAATGCTATGATTTCAAGGAAGACCAAAACGTCTGGTGTCAAAAGAATTCAATATACAAATTTAGAATAACATCAGCCAGATAAAGGTAAAAGTTGAACTTACATTGAATGCATCCTTTTGTAGAATCGAGTGGAATGAATATCTTATTTTTGATGCATAGATAGCAAGCAAATAGGTGGCCTGAGTGAAAATTAGAAATTAAATGCTCGTGTCCAGGATCTTAACATGCACAGAAATTTAGAGTTACGCAAGCAATGAAGAAGAATTTTGGACACTTCTCCATTATGTTTTTGGAACACAGGAATTTTTAAAACTTTCTATTTGCACGTTTTTTCGTGATGACCTTATTTTAATTATGGTGAAATACATTCATTAGCATTGTTTGCTTATCTGCATAGAATAAAGGAATTATCAAGTTCAACATCAAATGTAATATTAGCCCAAATTACTTTCAAATATATTTTATTTTCATATTTTACACATTTTTACAACACATTTTACGACATATTCGTGATTCCCAGTTGAAACCATTAAATCTCAGTGTAAACTCAGAAACAGCGTGATTAGGAATGCAAAGTACTTATGATAGCAATACTAAACTAGAAGATATTTTTATCACCATTCTGAGCATAGATATAAGAAACCAATTTGAAAATAGAAAAAGACAATTGCTGAGAAGAATGGAGTAAAGCAATACAGGGCTACAGAAAATATTCTGACATACACGTATATAAGCAGGTTTGGTATCCGTAATTATATACGATTCACTAACGTCATGTTGGATGACTTACCGCCTTTCGCCATCTTAAGCCACTGATCTTCGCACATGAATCTACTTCGTAGCACATAAATAGTGTTAGAATAGATGGATATATGGAGACTAAGCTCAGTTGTGTTAGCTATAATGATAAATTTATAGATTTTTACATGACCTCGAGCGTTGGAGAAAATCGAAACCGAGTGAACTCAAGTGAAAAAAATGACCAAGGGGAAAGCGGCTGAACAAGTGCAGTGAGGATGAGGAAGGATTATGCGAATACGCTCAATCTAAATAATATAAAACCGCTGAGCCAAGAATAGGTAGTAGCGATATAGATAGAGTTGAGCAAAAAATCAAATAGAAATGGTGTAGACATGTGACCCCCGTTATATTAACAAAAAGAAACGTTCGGTTTTCTTCCCAAAAAATCTTGATACCTTAATATTTTAATCAATACGTGAATAAAGAATATGCTGAATTAGACTAGAGGGCTCCAAAGGTCTAATGGGCCTCTACAGCCTAATTATACTTTTAGAGCTTAATAATAGCAGTCAGGTAACATTTAATCAAGCCTACTAGGGAGAAATAGGGGAAAAAGTGCTTAATAAGTCAATCCTTGCGGATGTCTGCCTTGAGGGTAGTCTAGATATGTAATGATCTAGTTAATAGAAGAGCCAAACCTAAGTACTGAGTTGGGTATACGTGAGTGTAGGCCAAATATGAATTAAGGTAAATCACATATCTTTGATTCCCCTTCTTAACTCAAAATGCTTGCTTGCTGCAAATCATCCATTTTGCAAAACCTAACAAATGACTAAAATCGTAAAAATCCAAATGATTAATTCCTCTGTCCAGTTTGAGGGTTGTTTCTCTTCGAAGAAAGCAGATATTAGCCGCTATTTCGCAAAGCCAAAATAAACCATAAGAAAAGATGCCGCAATGGAAATAGTTAGGAGTGGGTTGACCTCGTCGTGGCAACTTGGTCTTGTCGTCCGGGAGACTTAGTAGAACGCACCTAGTCCGAAGTCCTGTGCCATAATAGTTATCATAATTCCCAGCATCAGACAATGGACTTGATAAATTCTCAAACATTTCGCCGGCATCATCAGTGAGTGCTGCCATTCTCCTCACCAAGTTACGAACTCATCAGAGGCAAGTGAATTCAATCCTTCCACCAAATTTCTGCCAAAAACGGTTGCACTAATACTCTTCTTTCTGTCTTAGCCTATCTACTCTCTACCCTCTTATCCAACTCTTACTCTATCACAACTTTTGACTTGTTAAATTTTCACTCGTCAAAATGTGTGACCTTTTGCGGCAAATCTAGTGTGGCCTCACCACACTTGTCATTCAACCCGACTCCCTCTCTGTCGATCGGATAATCCGACTAGGGCCTCCG